CAGTAAAATAACAACGTACTGGAGTGAACGATATGGAAGAAAATGCAGAATAGAACCAGTGAAGAGCAGAGGTGCCATAGGCACAATCAGAGAACACTGTATAAACATCAGAGGTCCGCGGTTGTTCAACACCCTCGCAGCGAGCATCAAAAATATTGCCGGAACAACCGTGGACATCTTCAAGAGGAAACTAGATTGTTTCGTTCAAGGAGTGCCTGACCAACCGGGCTGTGGTGGGTATGTGGGCCTGCGCGCCGCTCCAAGCAACAGCCTGGTGGACCAAACTCTCACAAGTCAAGCCTGGCCTCGGGCCGGGCTTGGGGAGTAGAAGAACTCCCAGAACCCCATCAATCAGGTATCAAGCAGACGGATTAAATAGCAACGGCGTTGGAGATATCCGACGACAGGCAATATAATTCCTAAATGGTTCTCCAGATGTGTATGCAAGTACCTGTAATGAAAGCTGGACATCTTCACTTTAACCTCAAGAGATCTTAATGTTATCTGACCTCCACTGTGGTAGAGCACACAGCCCAGTCCACACTCCTCCTCTTTACGTACCGCAAAACAAAAATAAATAACTATAATAACAAACATGTCCCTACAATTGCACCAGAGGTTGTACTCCTATATATATATATATATATATATATATATATATATATATATATATATATTATATATATATATATATATATATATATATTATATATATATATATATGCAATTGACGATCACGAAACACTGATCATTTGTATGCGAAAAATCCACAGAGTCAACACCAGACCGGTGTTGACAAAGGCCCAGATCGGCCGAAACGTTCATCTCTCTTTTCCATTTCTCTGTGGATTTTCCGCGTTATATATATATATATATATATATATATATATATATATATATATATATATATATATATATATATATATATATATATATATATATATATATATATACTCACCTAGTTGTGTTTGCGGGGGTTGAGCTCTGGCTCTTTGGTATATGTGTGTGTGTGTGTGTGTGTGTGTGTGTGTGTGTGTGTATTCACCTAGTTGTGCTTGCGGGGGTTGAGCGCTGCTCTTTCAGCCCGCCTCTCAACTTTCAATCAACTGTTACTAATTTTTTTTTTACACACACACACACACACACACACACACACACACACACACACACACACACACACACACCACACACACACACAACACACACACACACACACACACAAACACACAAACACACAAACACACAAACACACACACACAAACACACCAGGAAACGTCCCGTAAAAGCTGTCTAACTCTAAGGTACCTATTTACTGCTAGGTAACAGGCGTATCAGGGGGTGAAAGAAACTCTGCCCCATTTGTTTCTGCCATCACCGAAGATCGAACCTGTACCCGAGGATTACTAGAGCAGAGCGCTGTCCACTCAGCTATCAGGCCCCCCCAAGGAAGTACTTAAGGAATTTCGTGTCTTACTCCTTCCTTCGTGGTCGAACTGGAAGGGAACTAGCGCCAAGCGATAACGACTATATAGCCCTTGGAAGGGGTCAGAATAAGGGTTAGTGATGGGAAGGGGGGGAATTAATGGTACCCAACCCCTTGGATGGTCGGGGATTGAACGCCGACCTGCATGAAGCTCTACCGTAGCTCTACCGTCCAGTCCAAGTGGTTGGGCTGGAGAGGCCAACCAGAGCAGCTTCAGCATCGTTAACGACCCTATTGTAAGCTTGTCCCCCCCTCCCCCCCATCCCCTAGACCTCTGAGCACCACCTAGAGAAATTTGTAACAAATTCCCTCCCTCACCCTAATCATCCCCTAGACCTTCCCCCCCCCCCCCCCCCCCCCCCCGTCACCTCCCGTTACCAAACAATGCCTCTGATAACGACACCGGCAGTAGTTCTCACTATAGCGGCCATAACCGTTAACAACGAGGTGAATACTGTTATCCCAATTTCCGTTTATATATATCTCTCCAGCTGTACAGTTTTCCCATTCATAAATAACACTGCAATTCTTACTAATTATTTTTAACATACGCCCGTGACAAACATTGTTATTATAGATCAGACTAGCAGCCCAGCCAATTATATGTAAATTCGCACTGTTCACGGCCCTAATTAATCATAATGCCATTTCAAATTGCTGGCAAGCCAGGCTAATGCTGAAATTAAACTTTTAATTCGTCGGTAATGTAAAATATTTTGACCCGGGCCGGATCAGGGCGCTGGAGAGAGCCAGAGGTGGGTGGGTCAACCCACACCGACCCGCCGATCCGGGTAGTGAACCCGGACCATGGGTCATTCCAAACCTATTTCCACCTCACGACATAAAAAAACTCAAAAGCACCCCTACATCCCTTATAAACAAACCATACACCCCATAACCCCACCCCTACACCCCTAAATCCCATCCCTACACCCCATAACTTTTTATTCTAGCATTGTTGAGGCAGTTGATAGTGGTAAGGATTGCGATGTTGTATACCTTGACTTTAGCAAAGCTTTTGATACAGTGCCACATGAAAGACTGATTAAAAAAATAGAGTCTCATGGTATTGGGGTGCTATATTAAGCTGGATTAGGGCATGGCTATACCAAAGGAAACAGAGAGTTAGTATAAATGGAATCAAGTCAGAGTGGGAAAATGTTGTAAGTGGAGTGCCTCAAGGCTCTGTCCTGGGACCTCTGTTGTTTATAATATATATAAATGATTTAGATTCAGGTTTGAGTAGCAACATTTGCAAATTTGCCGATGATACGAAAATCGGTAGGGAAATTAATTCGGAGGAGGACTCACTATCACTTCAAGTTGATCTAGATAGGGTTTTGAAATGGTCAAAGGATTGGCAGATGCAGTTTAATGCTGATAAATGTAAAGTTCTGAGGTTAGGTAATGATGATAGAGTTACAAGATACGAGCTAGATGGTGTTGTGATTGCGAAGTCGGATTGCGAAAGGGATCTGGGAGTTATGATTAGTAAGAATTTAAAACAAAAGGATCAATGCATAAATGTTCGTAATAAGGCAAATCGGACACTTGGATTTATTAATCGCAGCGTTAGTAACAAGACACCTGGTGTGGTTCTCAAGCTATATCTTGCTCTAGTTAGGCCCCATTTAGATTATGCAGTTCAGTTTTGGTCGCCATATTATAGAATGGATATAAATTCACTTGAACGTGTCCAGCGTAGGATGACTAAGTTAATTCCCCAAATTAGAAATCTTTCATATGAAGAAAGATTAACAAAGCTTAAGTTGCATCACTGGAAAGGCGAAGAGTTAGGGGTGACATGATAGAGGTTTACAAGTGGATGAATGGACATAACCGGGGGGATATTAATAGGGTATTAAAAGTATCAACACAGGACAGAACACGAAACAATGGATATAAATTGGATAAGTTTAGATTTAGGAAAGACTTGGGTAAATACTGGTTCAGTAACAGGGTTGTTGATTTGTGGAACCAATTGCCGCGTAACATTGTGGAGGTGGGGTCCCTCGATTGTTTCAAGCACGGGTTGGACAAGTATATGAGTGGGATTGGGTGGTTATAGAATAGGAGCTGCCTCGTATGGGCCAATAGGCCTTCTGCAGTTACCTTTGTTCTTATGTTCTTATGTTCTTATAACCCCACCCCTACACCCCATAACCCCACCCTACACCCATAACCCCACCCTACACCCCATAACCCCACCCCTACCACCCATAAATCCCAACCCTACACCCCATAACCCCCCACCCTACACCCCATAAACCCCACCCTACACCCCATAAACCCCCCCTACACCCCATAAACCCCACCCTACACCCCCATAAACCCACCCTACACCCCATAAACCCCACCCTACACCCCACAAAACCCCACCCCACAAACCCCACCCTACACCCCACAAACCCCACCCTACACCCCATAAACCACACCCCTACACCCCATAACCCCCCCTACACCCCATAACCCCACTTTACACCCCATAACCCCATAACCCCCCCTACACCCTGCCCCATATACGACACCCGTGTAACAACAAACCAACAACACTGATCGCAATATGACTCAAAAGCCACCTGGTCGAGCGTCACCTGTGTAAAATCAACTTTTGTTTGGAAAATCATATTTACAAAATCCGTACATTGTAACATGACTTAATAAGCGGCGTGAACGACCCGGTGATCCTAACAAGCTGATCCTTGAGTGATCCACCAGCTGCCTGAGTCTTGGGTGATCCACCAGCTGCCTGAGTCTTGAGTGATCCACCAGCTGCCTGAGTCTTGGGTGATCCACCAGCTGCCTAAGTCTTGGGTGATCCACCAGTTGCCTGAGGCTTGGGAGATCCACTAGCTGCCTGAGTCTTGGGTGATCCACCAGCTGCCTGAGTCTTGGGTGATCCACCAGCTGCCTGAGTCTTGGGTGATCCACCAGCTGCCTGAGTCTTGGGTGATCCACCAGCTGCCTGAGTCTGGGTGATCCACCAGTGCTGAGTCTTGAGGATCCACCAGCTGCCTGAGTCTTGGGTGATCCACTAGCTGCCTGAGTCTTGGGTGATCCACCAGCTGCCTGAGTCTTGGGTGATCCACCAGCTGCCTGAGTCTTGGGTGATCCACCAGCTGCCTGAGTCTTGAGTGATCCACCAGCTGCCTGAGTCTTGGGTGATCCACCAGCTGCCTGAGTCTTGGGTGATCCACCAGCTGCCTGATCCTTGAGTGATCCACCAGCTGCCTGAGTCTTGGGTGATCCACCAGCTGCCTGAGTCTTGAGTGATCCACCAGCTGCCTGAGTCTTGGGTGATCCACCAGCTGCCTGAGTCTTGGGTGATCCACCAGTTGCCTGAGGCTTGGGAGATCCACCAGCTGCCTGATCCTTGAGTGATCCACCAGCTGCCTGAGTCTTGGGTGATCCACCAGCTGCCTGAGTCTTGGGTGATCCACCAGTTACCTGATCCTTGAGTGATCCACCAGCTGCCTGATCCTTCAGTGATCCACCAACAGTCTGGCTCTTTTCTCGCCTCAAGAGTCAAACATCAAAGCAATATCACCATTAAACAAGTGCCTTTGGAAGCAGTACAGATAACAAAGACACCATTAAACAAGTGCCTTTGGAAGCAGTACAGATAACAAAGAGTAACAAGAAGCAGTGAGGTGATTCAGTAAACAGCCCCGATGAATCACTATGGAAGGTGATGAGATGAGTAACAGCAGGAGTATTCACTCATCACCTGCAGCGACTCACCAATGTAAGTCATCGTGTTATACACATTTAGTTTATTACATCAGAAAATAAGAATCTATGAAGCGTCAAAAGGCCTATTGGCCCATGCGAGGCAGCTCCTATTGGTCCATGCGAGGCAGCTCCTATTGGTCCATGCGAGGCAGCTCCTATTGGTCCATGCATGGCAGCTCCTATTGGTCCATGCGAGGCAGCTCCTATTGGTCCATGCATGGCAGCTCCTATTGGTCCATGCGAGGCAGCTCCTATTGGTCCATGCGAGGCAGCTCCTATTGGTCCATGCGAGGCAGCTCCTATTGGTCCATGCATGGCAGCTCCTATTGGTCCATGCGAGGCAGCTCCTATTGGTCCATGCGAGGCAGCTCCTATTGGTCCATGCGAGGTAGCTCCTATTGGTCCATGCGCGGCAGCTCCTATTGGTCCATGCGAGGCAGCTCCTATTGGTCCATGCGAGGCAGCTCCTATTGGTCCATGCGAGGCAGCTGCTATTGGTCCATGCGAGGCAGCTTCTCAATATATCTCCCGCCTTTTTTGTCTCATCGGTAAATTTGCTAATGTAGGTCTTCACTCGTATATCTAAATCGTTAATTTATATGGTAAACAACACAGGTTCAAAGACAGAGCTGTCAGCCAATCACAGTGATTTCACGTTTTGATTTTGTATTGTTTACACTTGACGACCCTACGTCGAGTCCCTCATCTAGTGCCCTGTTGAGGGAGACACAGAGGTGAAAAGAAAGGAGAAAGAAAAGGATAAAAGAGAAAAAAGGAGAAAAGAGGGAGACACAACTAGAAAACGCGAAATCAAAGAAAATTTAAGAAATATTTCGGTTCAGTAACAGGGTTGTTGATTTGTGGAACCAATTGCCGCGTAACGTGGTGGAGGTGGGGTCCCTCGATTGTTTCAAGCGTGGGTTGGACATGTATATGAGTGGGATTGGGTGATTATAGATAGGAGCTGCCTCGTATGGGCCAATAGGCCTTCTGCAGTTACCTTTGTTCTCATGTTCTTATATTTAAAATTCACAGGGAAATGATCTCATGTGAAGAAAAAGAGATAAAATGTTTAATGACCAAACCATACATGAGAAATTGAGAAGACGACGACGTTTTGGTCCGTCCTGGATCATTCTCCCGTCGTATGATGCAGGCGATGAGTCACAATAACGTGGCTGAAGTATGATGACCAGACCACACACTAGAAGGCGAAGGGACGACGACGTTTCGGTCCGTCCTGGACCATTCTCAAATCGATGATCGACTTGAGAATAGTTCAGGACGGACCGAAACGTCGTCGTCCCTTCATCTTCTGGTGTGTCGTCTGGTCATCGTATCATCAGCCACGTTATTGTGACTCATCGTGAGGAAGGACTAGCACTAGAAAAAGTGATGGCATGGATGAGATAGACAGATGAGCTAGAATAGACAGGTGAGCTAGAATAGACAGGTGAGCCAGAATAGACATGTAAGCCAGAATAGACAGATGAGCCAGAATAGACATATGAGCCAGAATAGACATATGAGCCAGAATAGACAGATGAGCCAGAATAGACAGGTGAACCAGAATAGACAGACGAGCCAGAATAGACAGGTGAACCAGAATAGACAGACGAGCCAGCATAGAAAGGTGAGCCAAAATAGACAGATGAGCTAGAATAAATAGATGAGCCACAATAGACAGATAAGCCATAGATATGCGATAACTTACTTCACCACATCATTACTATGAAATGAAATGAACTATAGAAGGCAACACTGGCGGCCAATCCCATCCAAAATTTAAAATATAATAAGATAGATATGTAGATAAGGAGCCATCGTATTAGACCACCCAGGGCTACCGAGCCGGGGTCCAAGAGCTACAGCTCACACTACAAGTACATATTTTGGAGTGTACACACACACACACACACACTCTAGACCACCACCAGCAAATATAAAGTGATTGAAATGGAAAGAGGCGTCAGGAGACTAAAAGAACAGAACACAATGAAGGGAAACTCCCTCCTGACTAGAGAGAGACCTCGGTTATCTTGAGATGATTTCGGGGCTTTAGTGTCCCCGCGGCCCGGTCCTCGACCAGGCCTCCACCCCCAGGAAGCAGCCCGTGACAGCTGACTAACACCCAGGTACCTATTTTACTGCTAGGTAACAGGGGCATAGGGTGAATGAAACTCTGCCCATTGTTTCTCGCCGGCGCCAGGGATCGAACCCGGGACCACAGGATCACAAGTCCAGTGTGCTGTCCGCTCGGCCGACCTGGGAGTAGACCTAACACCAAACCTAACTCCGGAGGTACATATAAACAAAATAACATCAGGAGCAGAGGCTTAGGTGAAAACTCCCCATCTAATGAATCACATTACTCAAAAAAGTTAAAAAATTTGCAAAAATGCTTGTCCCAGAATTGCGAGGGATGAAGAGACTGAATGAACTAAACCTGTCGACGCTATATAAGACGAGAGTGGGAGGGGGACATGATAGAGACGTGTAAAATACTTACGGGGATTGACAGAGTGGAAAAAGAGGAAAGGTTCACAACACTTCCACACCCTCTTGTACCGATAGTACAAGAGGGTGTGGATGGAAACTTGAGACTCAGGTGAGGTGTAGATATAAGGTTTTCTTTTAACGTAAGAGTATTGAGAAATGGAACGAATTAAATGAGCAGGTTTAACACACACACACACACACACTCACACACTCACACACACACACACTCACACACACTCACACACACACACACACACACACACACACACACACACACACACACACACACACACACACACACACACACACACACACACACACACACAATACACAACACATCACACATATAGGTGAGTACATACACACACCCACACACACACACACACACACCCACACCCACACTCACACACCCACACACACACCCACACACACCCACACACACCCACACACCCACACACACACACACAGTAACAGATGGAGCCGCTTTATCTCTCCCGCTCGTTAAGATCCAGGGGGGGGGGAACATTAAGCTTAATCAACACTTAATCTGAGACCCAAGCTGGAGTACCAGCTCCCCGTTCACGTTGGCGAGTACTCTCGTTATCTTCCATAGGTGCACCTTCACCACTATTGCTTCGTTATCACTTTATATTCTTACTGGTGTTATTACTCTCTCTCTCTCTCTCTCTCTCTCTCTCTCTCTCTCTCTCTCTCTCTCTCTCTCTCTCTCTCTCTCTCTCTCTCTCTCTCTCTCGGGGCAGCTGTCTATCAACACTCACACGTTACCGATTGGTAACAGCTCAAACCTGACCCCTCCCCCACCCACTCCAACACCTGCCCCCCCTCCCCCCACTCAACACCTGCCCCCCTCCCCCCACGCCAACACCTGTCCCCCCTCCCCCCCCCCCACAACACGCCAACAAAAGGTGGTGTGCCCTGGAACTGGGGCATGAATCACAGGTCACAAGGGCGTTAACCAGGTGTGTTTCCCCCTGATCATGACCTTTATGTTCTCCAGGTACAAAAGCCGCCAGCTCCAGGCCTCCATAATTCCTGTCTTTTGACCTCCAGCTTTTGCCCAGCCTCCACAATTTCCTTTTTTTTTTATCCTACGATGGCTGTGCTGACCCGGGGTCACACCCCCCCGCCGCCCCCACAGTGCCCCGGGTCGGTGCCCCGGAGCTTACACCCAACATATTCCAAGCAGTAAGCTGGCAAAAGCTGCCCAAATACCCCCCAACAAGCTGTTGAAAAATGAAAGCAAAAGCCATACATGTTTTTTTTTCTCCAAAAAAGCCATATTCCCCGGACTTTTTTTTAATCAGGATTCCTGCCAATTTTATGTCATAGAGCCAATAGGGGCCCCTATCTCCCTCTGGGATTTTTGCTCTAAACTATGTTGCTTTTTTATTTTCCAGTTTTTATTCAAATTTTAGAGACTTAAGAATATAACTTTTTTGGGGGGATTTAGTTGTTATGAAGCGGTCAAGAGTTTGTAGAGTTGTGTTTAGTAAGTACTAAAGTAGAGTTGGTGTATGGGAGTCTCGTAATACGCTGGCCTCGCCACCCCACTGACAAGATATCTAAATATAGAAATATCGTTGTATATCTAAAGATATCTTTAGATGTACAAGATATCTAAACAAGATATATATACCATATGTATCAGCAGAGGAACAAGACATGTAGGTACACAACTTAGTGGGTGGTGGGGAAGAGACCAAGCAGGCAGGTGGGTGGTGGGGGAGAGAGACCAAGCAGGCAGGTGGGTGGTGGGGAGAGACCAAGCAGGCAGGTGGGGTGGTGGGGAGAGACCAAGCAGGCAGGTGGGTGGTGGGGGGGAGAGAGAGACCAAGCAGGCAGGTGGGTGGTGGGTGGTGGGGGAGAGACCAAGCAGGCAGGTGGGTGGTGGGGGAGAGACCAAGCAGGCAGGTGGGTGGTGGGGAGAGAGACCAAGCAGGCAGGTGGGTGGTGAGGAGAGACCAAGCAGGCAGGTGGGTGGTGGTGAGAGACCAAGCAGGCAGGTGGGTGGTGGGGGAGAGACCAAGCAGGCAGGTGGGGTGGTGGGGGAGAGACCAAGCAGGGCAGGTGGGTGGTGGTGAGAGACCAAGCAGGCAGGTGGGTGGTGGGGAGAGAGACCAAGCAGGCAGGTGGGTGGTGGGGAGAGACCAAGCAGGCAGGTGGGTGGTGGGGGGGCGGGGAGAGACCAAGCAGGCAGGTGGGTGGTGGGGAGAGACCAAGCAGGCAGGTGGGTGGTGGGGAGAGACCAAGCAGGCAGGTGGGTGG